TAAATGTAGAAACTGTCAAACTGAAGTTTCTTCTTTCCTCTCACTGCTCTCTACCTACGACATCTTCACAGTCTGTCTTAAAACATTTAAACCTTCGACTTATACTGCACATTAAAAGACGCTTAACCCCCCAAATTAATCCTCAGGGGAACATGAAAACTGTTGTGGAGATGTTTGAGTCTGGTACATTAATCAACATTTCTGTTAATGTGTCAGTGTTAGCCAGTGTACAAGCCATGCAGAGCAACAGGAAACAGCCTCTGGGGACCATGAGTGTCTGTACAAAATTTTGTACAAATCTATTTAGTAGATATTGAGTTATTTCACAGACGAAGTACAAACTTTGACCCACTGGTGTCGCTACATGAAAAGTGAATGTATCATAAAAGTCATTAGGGTTCATCCTCAGGGGACCATGAGTCTCTGAACCAGATGTGGTGATCCACATCTTTGAAATAAAAATAAAAAAATGTCAACCTCGTGGAGGCGCTAAAGATAAAGCCAGGGGATTGACATGAAGTTCAGTGATAACAGCAGCAACATGTCAGAGGAGCAGAGTGACCTCCTCTGCTCTCACTTCCTCTTCTTCTTCTTCTTCTTCTTCTTCTTCCGTGTCAGAGACACGTTGACCTGCACAGCTCGTGTTAAACATTTCTCATCAGATATTACAGAAAGATTTGACTTCTTTTTATCTCCTGTCTCGTCCTATTCTCCCCGTCTGTCCCTCTCTCTTTAATGTCCGTCCTCTTTGTCCTACATTGTTTTTAACCTCTAATTTTCCCTTCTGCTCGTTCCTTCTTTCCCTTTCTCTACAACTTTTCTTTACCTGTCTTCGATAATCACGACTGACACGGCAGCACAGCTGAACTTTAATCTGCTCTCTTTGCAGTTACATGTGCAGTTTACAGACTGTCACATTCACACCTGTCCCCCTGGAAACAACGGCAGGTGGGAACCAAAAGGGGTTGTAAATAATAAACTTAAATGTTACACCTACAAATTATATATGTGGAATTATAAAGGCCTGCAACTGATAATGAAAGTATATGATAAACTCAGTGAAATAAAGTTTATTAATAATACAATAAACTCAAATAATAGTTTATATGGTAAATTTATATTTAAAATAATCCAGATGTGTACAATAATTAAGGTAACACTTCCTTCTTCTGTCTCTTTCTGTCCTTTGCTGTATTTGATTTGTCCCATCATGTCCTCCTTCTGTCCTCCTTTCCTTTTCTATCCTTATTATATTTTTTGATTTCTTCTTGTGGACATTAGAGATGCGATGACCTGTCCACATTTGGACTTGACCCCAGGGACACGGTGCCGCCTTTTATCGTCCTCTTGGCTCATGATTTTTGTGCCTCTCCCCTCCCGTCCTTCTGTCCGTCCCGTCCATTTCTGCTGACAGACCATAATAACCCGCAGTCGGTCCTGATGAGTCAGGCAGATTAGGAGGTGAGAGACGGTGACTCGTCCTCTGGGGGACGAATCAGCCTGAAACCTGAAGACTTTGGTTTACTCATGTCTGGCTGTCTGCCCGGCGACCACAGAAAAACCCCTCTTACATTTCATCATGTCGTGTGGTGACGGATGAGATGTCGCAGCAGAGAGAGACGGTTCGACGCGTCCTGACATCTGCGTTTAGTTTTAGAGGAGACGACATTTAAGAACATGTTTACTTTTGTTTACAGGCCAAAATCCTTCAAATTAAAATAAGTCTTTTGTTCTTTAACGCAGGAAACTTCAGGTTTCATCTGTAGACACTAAAGCAACTTCCCAGTTCATTCACAAACATTTGTTTCTATCTGATCCTGATCTGTTCTGACAACCTGCTGAATCCACCTTTACGCCACGATGTTCGGATGTGTTGTCATGAAGTTTGGTTCAGACACTCACGTCCTCCAGATGATGAATCCTACTGAGTTTGGTGATCCTCAGGTTGGGTTAGAAATGAGGTTTCTCTGCAGTAGTGTCGGTACGATATCAGATTTTAACCACCATGATTATTGTGACCAAAAGATTCCACGATATCTGTATAGAATTCGACAAATAACGCTGTCAATCAAATACACGTTTAGCTTCATTTATTGTGTATTTTGCTTTTTGTTATTATTAAATTAATTAGACTCAAATACTAGTGTAGGGAAAACTACACGTTCCAACCTCCGATGCTGCAGTTCTTCTAACGACCACTAGAGTCTGGCTCCAACAGTGAGTCAGTCCCCATAGACTCCCATGTTAAAATGTCCAACTTTACAGCAGAAATAAACATGTTTACAGCCTGGTACAAAAACTGTTTTTCTAGTATCATTTCATTTACTTGTTAGCACTAGTTAGCAGGTATCAGTGTCTGCACTCACTACCTGGCTTGTTAGCTTAGCTTGTGAACTAGCTAAGTAGCCAGTAAATGAATTTGTCTTGGGTTAGCCTTGGAGCAAGACGCCAATCTCTGCTAACGACGCTAACGAGAGCATCTATCTCTGCACCTGTGTCGTACCTTCGCTCTGACGCCTCTCTCTCTGTGAGTTTGCTGTTGAGACGTTGCTCTGCAAACAGGAAGCTGCACATCTGACCAATCAGCTGCAGCGTGTCACGACGACCTGCTCGAGGTCAGAGGAAGTTGCTGCAGAGGAAACGGCTTTTTATGCAAAAATATAAAACTACATAAAAGTGCACAACTTCCATGACCTCAGAGGGTTTTAATGACAATGCAGAACTTCTGTTTTAAATCAGCTGTTTTCTTATTCTGTTGAAACTGAACTTCATCAACCAGTGGAGGTAAAAACAGGATAAAAACCACCTGTAGCTCGGCAAATTAAATATATGTTCATATAAAATAAAAACATATACTGTGTGTAGAAGTAAAAGATATAACCCTGAGTCGTGACTAAAATGATCAGATACATAAATAAAGTTCATTTCTGTCTGAACTGTGAACATCAGCAGAAAATGACGCGTTTCTGCATCTGTCAGCTGTTTGTTGTAAACACTGTGACACAAGTCAGTTTGTTTGGGTCGAGGTCACCTACACACACACACACACACACACACACACACACACACACACACACGAATCGAATCTATACTTTATTTTGTAAAGTATAGATTGGACTGGCTTCATTCTTCCAGGGTTTTGACTAAAAAAAAAAAAATAGTTTTCAATACATTTTATTGATACTGATCAGAAATGTATCAGTTTTATTTGTTTTTACTGTAAATTCAATAATAGGAACAGTGTCAAAGTAGAGATGATGACATGTGACTGTAATCTGAACAAAAACATAAACAAAACACAGTGTGTGTGTGTGTGTGTGTGTGTGTGTGTGTGTGTGTGTGTGTGTGTGTGTGTGTGTGTGTGTGTCTGGGAGTGTGTGTGTGTCTGGGAGTGTGTGTGTGTGTGTGTGTGGAAGAGGAAGTAGTGTGTATATAAACTGGTGTTGAAGTCGATCTGATCATCAGAGACTCGACAGACGAACTTCCTTCTGAGCGGTGAGACTCACATACTGCACATTTTCTTTTTTCATATTCAATATTTAATTATTTTTTATTTTATATTATTTTATTATGCATTATGATATTTTTAGTTGTGTCGTTTCTATCGTTTTTAAAGGATGTTGTGATGTTTTAAAATGAAATGATCCTTATTCATTTTTCATTTTATTCAATATTTTTTATTCAATATCTCAAAGACGTAAATTTATCTGGTATTTCACTAAAGAAGCTACGTTTTATTCAACAGCTTTACTTACTTTTCAGATTTTACATAAAAAGAATTTAATTTGAAATACAATCCACATTTCACTACAGTACATGTACTTTTACTTCAATATATTATTATAATAATATTTAATGTTTATTTCATCCTGCAGATTTACAGTTTATGTGTCTGTTGAACATTTAATGCAGATTTTACCTCCATGTTCTAAAATCATTGAATTGTTTTCTTTAATATTTTTATGTTGCTCAGATTTGATTAAAACATGTCATTTATTTTTTTGTTAAATATTTTCTCTCTCTCCAGTGACCATCATGTCTCGTCCAACCGACGGACCAAACTCCTACAGGGGGCGCTACGCTCAGCCGGTATCACACAGCTACAACCAGAAAGTGAAATATTCGGTTCAGATTTATTTCTCTTTATTGATTGATTGATTGATTATTTTTTGAATAATCTTTAGGTGCCGACCTCCAACCTCACGACTGAGGATGACGATTTCCCTGAGTTTGAAGCTTTTGATGAAAGTGCTGACGCAGAGGCCACGCCCAGAGGACACCCACCTGATGGAGGTAAGAGCCATGTCATTTACATCTAACAAATTATTTTTCATGTATTTCTCAATGAACTGATTCGTTGTTTTGTTTATAAAATATCAGAAAATAGTGAAAAATGTCCTTCAAATGTCTTTTTTTCCAAAACCCAGAAATTTTCTGCCAAGAAAAGCAACAAATCAGAAACAATCGTTTAATTTACTTTAAAAATTACAAAATCGTTTGATTATTTAAAAAAAGAATTGACTAATCATCGCAGCTACATAAGTTTAATTAAAGGCAGAGAGCAGTTACTGTAACAGGCAGATTTAATGGACTTATTATTAATATTTAAAATCACTGACATCAGCCTTTGGACCTTTATTTAATAATTAACTTTAAATAAATATAATGAATAGATTTACACTCAGTGAAGTTATTTTAACCACACATGTATTTCCTGCTGCTTTAACCAGGTAAACGACCTTCTCTCAGCTGGTTTCATTCTGCCGTTTTTCTGTCGGATAACAAACTAAATTTCCTTATTAGTTCAATAAAATTCATATATTTGATATTTTAGCTTGAAAAAGTGATACATGATAAAATGAACGTTTATTATCATTATTATTATCTGGTCTGAATTATAAACATGAAGAAGAAGCGATGGTTGTAACTGGATCAGGTGTTGATGAACCCGGGTCGTTTAACTCCTCCCCTCAGGGTCTCTGTCGGTCGTCAGCGTCGACATGTGTCAGCAGGTCAACAAACCAAACCACTTCACAACCGCCTACGACATCCAGAACCTGGTGGTCCGACGCGGTCTGGAGTTCGTCATGAGGATCAGCTTCAACCGCCCGTTCGCCCAGGGAGACGACTTCCAGGTGGAGTTCCTGATTGGTGAGTCTGACCCCTGACCTCTTCTCTCACAAAATATAACCCAGTTTATTATGTAGGAACTTATGTTTCCTACAAATTTACTTTGTTGAAAATCTATCAAATATTAAATGTGTAAACTCGCTTTGTCTAAATAAAACACTTTTTCATTCAATCTTGTCAAAAAATTCAGTCAGAAAAATGATGAATCTGACCAAAGATTTGATGCCAACTTTTATTTTCATCTGCACCAAAATAAGTATTAAAATCCAGCGCCCAGTGTTTAAGAACAATGATTTATTAAAACATATAATACAGAATATTAAAAGAAATCATGTAAGAATATCAGATGTGTGAAGATGTGAAGGAGGTAAAGAAATGTCACTTTATCTCTAAATGTCAAGTATCATAAATAAAATATATGATTAAAACTGATTTCATGAGTTAATAAGATCATTATTACACATTATTATACTAAAGTATAATCACATTAAAGCTCCTGTCTGTTTCGGCGACATGTACTGGGGGGCGTGGTCTGTGTCACAGGGCGCGCTCAGTTGCCGCAGCCCAACAGTTAAACCGCTCCCTCGTTAACCAATTAGCTGATGAAGAGACGTTTGTTACCACCGAGCAATTAGACGACCGTCGGTTCGTTAGGCAGCCTCCCATTCATTTGGCTGGCTAATTAGTACACACACTCCCCCCGGCACTGTCATTAGAAACACACATTAGACACACATCAGACTCTGAGCTGCTGTGGGACAGATGTTCACAGGCTCAACTGGAAAAAACTGATTAAGAGAAACATCTGAAATACAACCTTTCTTAATTTAGACACGTTTTGTCATCACTTGAAAAACAAATGAATTTACTTTCACTTTTACCATTTTCATTATTTTATGAACATTTAAAAAATGTATTTTCCTAAACAAGGCAAGTGTCCTCTCCTCTTCATCACTAATCCTCCTCCTCCTCAGGCTCCAACCCCTCTCCCAGTAAGGGCACCCAGGTGGTGGTGACGTTCGGGACCCGTCACGGCGGCCCGTGGTCGGGCCGGATCCTGGAGACCAGTGGTGAGACTTTGATGCTGGGCATCACCCCGACAGCCGACGCCGTCGTGGGGAAGTTTCGGACTTACGTGGCCGTCATGGTGGGCGGCGGCCTGCAGAGGACCAAGAGGGACCCCAGCACCGACCTGTACCTGCTCTTCAACGCCTGGTGTCCAGGTACGAACACCTGCATTCACCTGTCACTGCCTCCTAGTGGCTGAGAGAAGTTCTGTCTGTCCTCAGAGGGACGTTCTTCTGTCCTGTCTCGGAGTTTTAGTCAGATTTTTCTGAAATTTAAAGCTGCTATGATTTATATTTTTGTCAGAGCAGCTATAACAGAACTTTAACAATTCTTAGTTCTGTGACTAAAAACACAGATTAAATTACAGCTGCATGCAGCAATTCAAGGGTTCTACTTCCTTAGAGAAGCAGACAACTTTTAGCTAATGAATGCTTTGGTAGACCTACTCCCTTGGTTGATGGCGGCCACGTTTTTCAACTGATTTTGCTCATTTATAACAGAAATGTGTCTCTCGGGGCTGGAAACCAAATTTGGTATTGATCTATTAATTTTACTGTTTTTCATTTTACATTATGCTAATTAGCTAAAAATCCCTAACGGTGGCTGCTATTATCACAGAGGCTTTTGTAGAGAATATTGTCCTGTAGGTGTGAGGTAAATGTGTAAGATGAGGGGTTAGAACCCTAATTACATATTTTCATACCTATAAAATACGTGGAAGACGACGTGTCGTCTGTTCTTGTCTTTGCAGAAGACGCCGTGTTTGTCCCTAACGAAGGCGAGCGGAGGGAATACGTCCTCAACGACACAGGTGTGATCTACCAGGGCTCAGTCGGAGCTGTGTCACACCGCAACTGGATGTATGGACAGGTACACACACACACACACACACACACACACACACACACACACACACCATTAGAAAAAGAATGGAGTTGAAGTGAGTGTATTTTCTCTCTCTGCAGTTTGAACGTGGAATTTTAGACGCCTGCATTCACATCCTGGATGCGTCTCGGATGCCGATCTACAACCGAGGCAACATCATCAAACTGGTCAGGAAGGGGTCGGCCATGGTGAGGACACAGAGCGGGAAAACTGCTTCACGTGAATGACTGAATGACTGTGAATGAGCTGTGGTTACTCAGTCTTCTCAGACACTTTGAGTGTGTTTGATTAAATATATTTCAGATTGGTCGGTAACACTTTGTTTTAACAGTCGTGTAATTTCAAACTTTCCTCATTATCTCTTAAAAATAAGCTCATATTTATCTGTTAATTACAAGTGTTCATTATTAAATACCTGCTCATTATATCAGAGTTTTTAAGAATAAAATAGGAACTTTTGTCAGTTAAAAATAGTTTGACTGAGTCTGGGACAAGGTCACGAGAGGATGAACTTCTCGTCTCTCGATGATTGGCTCGGTGTCAGACATTCACTGACCTTTGACCTCCCTCTGCCCGCAGCTGAACTCTCAGGACGACAACGGTGTGTTGGTGGGGAACTGGAGCGAGGACTTCTCCATGGGCACGCCCCCGACATCTTGGACAGGCAGCGTCAAAATCCTGCTGCAGTTCGTCAACACCGGAGTCCCCATCTGCTTCGCCCAGTGCTGGGTGTTCGCCGGAGTCTTCAACACCTGTAAGAGCTCACGCTGTCGCCGCGATACGCATGTTCAGATACCGCATTTTAACACGGTGTTTAAATATCCCACTTCTCTGCAGTCCTGCGTTGCCTCGGCATCCCGGCGAGGGTCATCACCAACTTCTCCTCAGCTCACGACAACACGGGCAACCTGAAGACCGACCTCATCTTCAAGCCTGACGGGACGCCGGACAAACGCCACACCAGGGACTCCATCTGGTTGGTCCAGGCCAGCAGGGTTTTCTTTACTTACCAAACCCGTATTTTACTGAGTGATGATTTAACCCCGAAATCAGTTTTCGTGTCATGAAAGTTTTAATGTAGTCGTGCCCAATCACATAATCATATCTAATAAACTCTAAATTAATTAATTCGACTTGTTCAGAAGTTTTCAAACTGTGAGAGTCTAGGAGGGAGAGTCGTGAACTGCAATTCATTTTAATGGTGTCAAATTACTCATTTGAGGAACCCAGTGTCAGACCCCTGAAGAAGTCTATGGAGCAAAAGAGCTGAAGGAGCATGTGTTGGTAGATACTGGCTTTTCCCTGGGCCTTTGAACTGAACAAACATGTGGTATGTGATGTTTTTGGTTTCATATAAAGTCTGTGACAGTGTGAAACTAAGTTTTTCTGTCCCGTCCTGTAGGAACTACCACTGCTGGAACGAGGTGTTCATGGCGCGTCCTGACCTGCCGCCCGGCCTCGCAGGATGGCAGGTGGTGGACGCCACGCCCCAGGAGACCAGTGATGGTAGGACAGACGTCCAGGTGGACCGATGAGTAAAACAGGTGGAGTGATGGATGATAAAGACGTCTCTGTGTTTGGTTTACAGGACATTTTCGCTGCGGCCCAGCCTCAGTCAGTGCCATTAAAGAGGGTCTGCTGTGCCACCCGTTTGACTGTGGATTTGTCTTCGCTGAGGTTCAACATTTTTTAAACATTTCGTCTTTCAGAGCTCGTAAACATTTGAAATCTTTAATGGCAAAAAAGAAGCACAATTACTGAGTTTTCTCAGGTTATAAACTTTATAACGATGTTTTCCCTCCGTCCAGGTGAACAGTGACGTGGTCTTCCTAAAGCGGGATCGCTACGGGACTCTGACTCCATTCAGGGTGGATAAGACTCACATTGGACAGGCTATTTACACCAAAGCTGTTGGCAGCCCAGCACCTATGGACATCACATACACCTACAAGTATCCTGAAGGTAACACACACACACACACACACACACACACACAAAGATCTAATTCAAGCTTGTGGGAGTTAGGAGGAGTTGTAGCTCCACCTGTACTCACCTGGTCTGTGTCTGCAGGAAGTGGAGATGACAGCAGGACTATGGCTCGGGCGGAGGAATACGGCTGCGAGAGGGATCACTCTGAGCTGCCTCAGACCCAGATGTCTGTCGTCATCAGTACTGAACAGGTAACACACGCGTCACGTCAGTACATTTAACCCTGCATACGTTCATCACCACCCGTCCATCTGTCGTTACATTCATCCACCTGTCCAGCCATCCATGAGTGATTTCCATGAAAATAGTGAATATTAAAACCCACCACCTGAAGCAAGAGTCCTGCTACTGTTAGCTAAAGCTAATTGGTGGGTTAGCTGAAGCTATAGGTGTCTCAGGTGATCTTACATTAACTACTTTTTCTACCTGTTTCGACTATGATACGACATGTTAGTGATTGGATGCATGGTTCAAACTGAAAGCGTGAAAACAACTCTTCTATCAGAACAGATATAAACTGAAAACTGAAGATATGTTGCCATGGATACAGTGAGTTAAACCGCAGGCTTCGACTTTAGCCCCGTGTTTGTTTACATGTTGGAAAATGAAACTTTGTTATGAACCACTGGATGAACTGATCTCTAATCAGATTTATGGAGGTTTAGTTGCAGATTTTTGTCTGATGTGAGTTTCAGATGTTTGTGGATGTTGTGTTTTGATACGATGTGTGAATAAATGTAACAGTGATGTCGGACACGAGCAGCTCTCAGACCTTTATTTAGCCAAAGCAGGTGAAAGAGGCTGGAGACGCCTGGTGTAAAAGAATCCACAGTAATATCCACTGAAAGACTGAACGTACATGTCCTTTTATTATGAACGAAGAGCAAGAGAACTTTTACTCTTCATTACTCTGTAAACTGACAAACATTAAATGGACACAGAATCACGTGCATCAAACCGGACGTTTAATAAATACGTCCGTCAACGTTTCCTTTAGTAGCTCAGAAAAATACCTCCGTCATGACGTCTGTCCATCCTCCCTCCATCCCTCTCTCCAGTGCCACCTGGGTCAGGACGTGAACCTGGCCGTGGATTTCCAGAACCAGGGTGAATCCCCCCAATCTGTCCAAGCTCACCTGTCCGGGTCGGTCGTCTTCTACACCGGAATCACAGCCAGTCAGTTCAAAGATCAGAGCTTCAGTGTCACAGTGACGCCCTACCAGAGTGAGCCACGGCAGCAGTCACCTGAAAGTCCTGTGTGATCCAAACTCCGTTATGATTGTGGTACTAAAGTGTGTGTGTGTGTGTGTGTGTGTGTGTGTGTGTGTGTGTGTTGCAGCGGAGCGTGTGATGTTGAAGATCTCAGCTCAGGAGTACATGCCTCACCTGGGCGCTCAGCTCTGCCTCCACTTCATTGTGACTGGACAGGCTGATGACCAATCAGTGAGCGCCATCAAGGTGGTCAACCTGCAGACCCCCAGCCTCATCATGACGGTAAAATCACACACACACACACACACACACACACACTACAGTGGAACTAAACTCTGCTCTTCTTCTTCTGTGGTTGCAGGTGAGCGGCACGCCTCAGGTGCAGCAGCGGATGTATGTGACCGTCTCCTTCACCAACCCCTTCAACTTCCCCCTGAACAACGTCCACGTGGCCATGGAGGGACCTGGACTCATGAGTGACAGGACGCGTAACTACAGGTAACACACGTAAACTTACACACCTGTGGTAACGTGTTGACAGATGTTGTGTGTTTTAACCTCCGTGTGTGTTTCAGCGTCATCAACCCTCAGTCCTCATTCTCCTGGACGGAGGAGTTCATCCCTCGGCTGGATGGAACCCGATGCCTTGTGGCGCAGTTGAACAGCAGCAACCTGTCTCAGGTAACCTTGGCAACGTCCTCTGTTCATATCACTGGTTTTTAAAACAGACAGGACCAGTTAACGCCATATCATATATTCCTGTCATCATGCGATGTGCCATGTTCAACGGTCGAGTCCAGAGTGAAACATTTGATAAAATATGTCATAAAATTTGGTTCAAACATTCACTGCATTCACATGCTAAAGCAATATGCTAAATTTAGCATTTAGCACAGCTACTTAACCGACTAAACATTAGCAAACATACTTGGCCATTTACATTTGCTAATATAATTAGCCTAGTCTGATAGTGTTATATACATTACACATTAGCATTCTGTTACTTTATAATATTAAACAATAAGCATGTTACTGCTATATGCTAAATTTAGCATTTAGCTTAAGGCACAGCTGCTAAAGCTACCAAACATGAGCTTCACTTCTGCAGACAGGATAGACAACAAACATGTAGCATGTTAATGTGATTATTAATATGCTTCAAGTTACATGTTCACATGTGCAACTTGTTAACACAGTGTTAACAACATAACATACATGTAGCCTATACCTGTAAAGAAAAGCTAGCTTGCTAGATGTTACATGCTAAATATCAACATGCTAGTATTTTTTAATTAGTTAACATGAATATTAACTGTAGGAATGTTACTGTAAAATGCTAAAGTTAGCATCTAGCTGAAAATGAACCTAGTAAACATTAACTTATATCCATGTTGTTTGTTATCATGGTAGCATGTTAGCTTTTGCATGCTAACAAGTAGTAGCTGTTAATATCCTCTTTCTTTCCTGTTTTTTCTTTTTTGATTTTATCTATTTATTGTTATTGTTTTATTTGCATATCAGATTTTTATTTATTTGTTCATATAGCAACGATAATAAAAACATATATATCATAAATAGCAGGCATTTTAATATGTTAGCATTAGAAAAGTTAGCTTAACTGAACTGTTATTAGTTCATCTGTTGACATCCAGGTGTGCTTTTTCAGGTGTCGGGACATGTTGATGTCATCATCTCACCCTGAGACGACTGGTTCACAGAATCCTAACCCTCATTATTTCCACCAATCACAGCAGCTTCAGACTGAGTGGGCGTAGCCAACAAACAGCACAAGTTACCTTTTTAACAATTTGTCTTCTTCTTGAACTAAATTCAGCCACGTGTAGGTCAGAGGTCAGAGGTCAGACTATTGTGAATGTAACTCAGTTATTATCTACTTTATTTCAACTCCCCCTGTTTAGCATTTATAAGCAATATGTAAAATGTAATGAACAGTTTATAACACACTACAGTGCAATTGTAAGCAGATGCAAATGTTTAATGTAACAGTTATAATATTAAATAATAGATAATAGACTTAATTACATACTGTACAATTATAACTTGCTTATGATTATGTAATAGTGTGTTATAAACAATTTATTAAAGATTTCCTTTCATTGGAACTCGCTAAGACAAACAGACCAAGCATGAAATCACACAAATTAAATAGACAGGAGTGTCCACATACTTTTGGCCATATTGTGGGAATTGAAATGAAACCTAAAAGATATTAGCTCAGGAAACATTTCCATCCAGCTGTTTTGTTAATAATAAGATAAAATTTAATCAGTTTTAATCCGTTTTCTATTAAATGAACAATTCAACTGCACTTATGTTCACGTGGGGAACTTGATGCCCAGTTTAATCATTAAATTAAAATACAAAATCAGTTTTCATGGAGAAATGAGATTAGAAAAGTGAAGTGTGAACAAAACCAGTGAGTTGGACACAGCTGGACACAGCTGGACCGGTGTGAGGGAGTGTGACAGCAGCTCGGCTCTGTCAGATCTCCACTCTGACAGAATCACGTGAAATATTAATCAATCAACGCCTTTCAATCAATAAGTGCCACCGACAGTCGGGCAGAGCTGACAGTGAGGAGGCCGGCAGCCTCCGACCAACAGCAACGACACAAAGTCTGATTATAAAATCTGCTTAATGAGCAAAATCATTTTTAATTTCAGTCTCTTATCAGATCAAATCTAGTGTGATTATGTTTTTTAATACCTGCTATTAATACTGAACCTGTCTACTAACAATAAAAGCATATTCAAAAGCACTGAAGGTGTCAACGACTATTATTATCTATCTGTCTCTCTCTCTCTCTCTCTGTCTCTGTCTCTCTCTGTCTCTGTCCCTGTCTCTCTCTCTATCTCTCTGTCTCTCTGTCTCTCTCTGTCTCTCTCTGTCTCTGTCCCTGTCTCTCTCTCTCTCTCTATCTCTCTGTCTGTCTCTGTCTCTCTCTCTCTCTCTCTGTCTCTCTCTCTCTCTCTCTCTCTATCTATCTATCTATCTATCTATCTACCTATCTATCTATATAGAATATACTGTAGGTCTTATTTTAACTTATAATAACGTTTTAATTCACGTGTTGATTTTAGTCTGAATCCACAAAGTATCTGAAGTTATTGAATAAATGTAGCAGAAATACACAGTAGCAGAAAATGGAAATACTAGTGTACAGTACAAGTACTTTAAACTGTACACATGTACAGGACTTCAGCCTGAACTCACCTCAGTGTGTTGTTGAGAACCCCCCCCCCCCC